CTTTTACATTATTATTGAACTTATTACATATTATTATACATATTTTTTTAGTGCTAAGCAACATGACGTTCCGTTAACTAAATCCTTAACTAGATTTTTAACTAGATTCTCGAATCCACGGAATTCGCGTATGATACAATTTATGCGAACAAATGTTGTTTGCGAATTGTTTTTTAAATTTTCCCTCGAGACTAGACAAATAAAATTCTTGAGTTTTAAATGTCCAAATTTAATATCCGCCAGTTACTCGGCGATTGAAATGCAATATGCCAGCAGTTTAACATATAAATCGTTTCATTTTTTTTTCAGAGCGGATGGGTAAATATATATAAATTGGCGTCAACTTCAATTTGCGTTTGAATGTAACAATCGGATTTTATTACATTAATTTCCCACAATTAAGAAAACATACTCAGTAAGTAAATGCTTTTATAGTATGACAATGTAACAGATTGACAGCAAATTTGCTCAGATATTGCAACAGATCCAGTATCACCTGTTTTCGTATTAAACTCGGTTTTGCTGGCAGAATAAGCAGCCGATATAAGCAGATGGTCAGCAGAAATCGAACAGAATTTATCATTTCGTAAACATTTAAATAAATAAAATGAAATTTAAATGAATTAAATTTGATGGGATAAATTATTGCTGACTTTATATAGGTACATTGTACTATGTATTTATATGTATGAATATTGATTTTAATTAATTGTTACATTGTTAACTTTGTAGGCACGTGCTTTACACGGCGGCGTATATATATGTATACATATACAAACATCACTGAGTTCAGTCGATTGATTTTATTTTTAACTTTATAATTACATTATACTTTGTTAATACTTTATTGGAGTTTCTAATCGATAAAATTGATAGATCGCGATTTTGAGGACCATCTGATCTTATCCAAGACAAGATCGCTCCTATCAAAATCTTCAATTCGCAGTTACATCCCCTACATGGAAATAAAAAACGTGCACCTCCTCGACTTCCCTGCCTTCCAGCACCGACAAGCTAAACCGACAAGGGTGAGGAAGGTGGAATCCGCGCCGAGACGAGTCCACCAGCGCGACGTGTGCGCAGTGAAACGAACGGGGCGAACTGCGACGGGACTGCTGCACCCCGTCGAATGGCTCGGCAGGGTGGTGGGTGGTAGGTAGCCCCACTGGCCTGGCGTCGTTCTCGCCACCGACGTCGCGTCGTGACACCGACGTTCATGTTTCGTCGTGCTATCGACTCGCGAGAGGGTAAAACACGCGTGTTGTCAATCACGAAAACGCATCTCGCGACGTACTCCTGACGTCGGGATCGATGTACAACGACGAGCGGTCTGTGGAGAACGGGCGTGAAAGGGGAACGAATCGGTGGGTCCCTTGAAGCTAAGAATATCACCGTAGGGTAGGAATCTTTAAAAAGAAAGAAGACACGATATATATATATACACGTACGTATGTACGTACACACATTTACACATATAAACATAAAGGGGGTGGTAGCGTATTATAAAACGTGGAATCGATACTCGCGATGAGAAGTTCTGCAGAGTGAACGTGTGAACCATAACATTTCAGGAAGAGAAGGGAGCGCGGATGCTCGTGGACGCATGCAAATAAAGTGATTATATGTGGTGGATGTAGCTCGAACGTGTCGCCAAGGGGGTGAATCTGGGTCATCGCGAGTGGATTTCTTCGCGAATAGAACGAAATAGGATTTTGCATTCTACCGAAGGAAACGGATGAGGGTTTTCCAGAGCGGATGCAGTTGAGTATATTACATCGAGTACATTGAAACTGCATTTAGGTCGTCGGAGGGTGTTTTTATCGTGGAGCGATATAGAAAACTGTTTCAGGCATTCAGAGAGCTTTATTACATCTCAAAATTAAATCCTCTCCAAAACAAATATAAATGTAACACGGTGAGAAGCGTGATGTGTTAATTAATAATTTGTTAATAGTGACAATTACATTTACACGTAATAACATTAATTATCGCGTTCTAATCATGATATAGTATATAAAGAACGCGGGATAATTAGCGGAGAAATTAATGCAGCAAAAAATATTGGATCAAGAAGATATTTTGTCGAGGAAGCAATTTCTCTGCATCACGTTCTGGCAGAGTCCTTTGAGGACGGTGAATAATATCAACGGTAAATAATATGGCGTGTGTTACTCCGCAGTCGATGACGTCAAGGAATGAAAGGCATGTAGACGGTTCGATGTAAAGAGGCTGGGCAACGAAAGTGGATACAACGAAATTTCCCAAAGGACGAGGAACGAATTTCCCAAAGGGAAGGAGCATCGGCAATCGCGTTACAGAGATAGAAAGTGAGAAATAGATTCTCGTAGCGATCATAATAAAGCTTTATCGATTAATCGCTTCGGATTGGGTGCAGTGCCGGTGCACGTATCTGTTTTTGAACAAGTCTTTTCCGAGAAGTGAGAAATGTGTGAGGCAAATTCTTCATTCATTATTTTATAAGTTTGGAACGAGTCTTTCTCCCAGTTTTTGAAATATTTTCAACATTTATTTTACATGTAAAAAGCTTGAATAATAAATCACACTGTGATATTTTAAAGGATGTTAACGAGGAGAAAAAAGAACGTGACGCGATCGATTCTACGTTTTTCGAGAAATTCTTAGTCGCTTTTCTTCTCAATTTTTACAGACGTCTTCAAGATTCCTTTTTATACTTAGGTGACAAATGCGGAGATTTTTTCTTAAGAGAGAGGAGAATCTCCGAACCGATCGTATCGATTTTTCACTTGAAAGACTTTTTAACTATCTCGACAAATAGGGCGGATGCCTAAGAAGGGATCCCTGAAGGGATAAATCAAAATAAATCTCAAAGAGAGAAAGAGAGAGGGGTGAAGCGTTCGAAGGGGTTGCAATATATCGAGTGCAGGGTTAACGAGAGGTGCAAGAGAGCCGAGAGAGAAGTCGAGACGAGTGGTGTTCCTCTCGATTGAGAAATAGAGATATCGTCGTAGAAGCAGGTTGATACACACAAAGTGGGGACGTTGTGGAAATGGGTCAAGAGTGTCTCGCCGATGGTAGTGTGGCAGCTTCTACTTAACTTGTCTCACGTTGAATTGTGCTATATCAAACGCTGTAGCGCGGATTAATTGAGAACAGGTCCTCAGGAAAACTGCAAATCCTGACAGTATTGTTAATGCAACACAAGTGAATCGAAATAAGTGTGCTATTATGCGAATTTCAAGTCGCGTGATTGCTTTTGCAATCTAACGAAATTAAAGTAAAAGAATTGAATTTTGAATTTCAGAATTAAAGTAAATAATTAAATTAAATTTCAGCTTCCAAAGTGATGCGAATTTTTGCACTCGCTTATTGTTTTGCGACGGATAAAAAATCCATATATGGATGTTAATTTCGCAATTAAAGAATTTGAAAGGAGTGCAACAATGCCAAAGAACTAAGTGGTCTGTGCGATTTAATGAACGCGAGATCACCGAAAATACAACGAGAATCACAACGAGGAACGCAAGCTCGATGCGTCGGCGGTGCATCGCACAAGAGATGCGTCGTTTATCGCGGCAGAAACGCATCCGGTCATCGTCCACGTGCTGAAATCCGCGAGTCGTCAATGTGATCGTGTCGTCGCTGTTGTTTCTCTCGAGGAGACATAGTCGTCTCCTCTCAGACTGGCGAATTCAACGAGGCTTCAATCATTTTTTATGGTCTACGGATCGCACAGAGCCACAGAGTCAGCTGCCACCACGGGGATCGCTTGGCTCCACAATATCACCGCTCAAGGTAAATTATCTTTAACGTCTGTTTAATTTTACTTATATAAAAATTGCTTGTGTGTGTAAAGGAATTTTATATAGCAAATCTCATAGATTTTTAACAAGCACGTTGTTTATTCCGTTTTATACATATTGAGAGTATTAAACATAGTTATATTAATTAGCTATTGAATTAATAATATATATATTTTTGATCAATTTCTTATCATTTCTACGAAAACAATGGTACGTAAAATAATGGTCGCGTTATAAATTTTGAAGTTGATGGATTAATTGTAGTAGCCATCGTATCATAGTTTGATAATAATAACAAGTTGCCTACACCATTGCTTTCTCGAGCTATAAGATCGGTCAATTTCTTATCAAGTTTTGTCTGTTTTTTTTTAGCGTTATCTTTAATCATACAGAGTGCCGGCCATGGAGATTAGGTGTTGTTGTAAAACTTTAACACGCGAGCGCGCATAAAGATTGATCGACTATGTTCGATGCTTGCCCTACTCTCTCGGTGTCTATGTAATGTATTACGATGATCGCATAAAGCTTTACTTTCACCGTCGTCAAAGGGGAGAAGTATGAAATTCGGCCTATTAGCATAAGAGAGAGTTCACGCATGACAAAACGGTTTTTGTCCACGTTTATGTAATATTCATCGTTATTCATAAGGTACATAACAAACAGGAAGTAACTTGAATTTAAAATTTTAATATGTAATTATAGGTAAACAATACATTATATAGTTTAGCTGAAACATTCTTAATAATTTTATTTTAATAATTAATAAAATTCTATTTCTATCTATGTTATGCGGATAAAGAAAAAGATTTAAATTAAATGATTCAAGAACTAAGAGAATTCATAGTCTATCAAAAAAATTACAACAAAATTATATAAATTTTTAATAAGTGTTAATTTGTTCAACATTTGCTATGTTTACGCGAGCGTTACTATAAAATCCCGTTTACGCGAAGGAAAGTCCCGTTTACGCGGAGGAATTATCGTAAAAGTTACTACAGAAGTAACGCTCGCGTAAACATAGTAATTATACGTAATTGAGAGGCAATAATATATTTTAATTTTAATTCTTTCATCAAAAATATAAAATAATAGAAAGAATGAGAAGATATCCAATCCAATAAAGATTGTTAAAAAAGAATTCAAAAAATTTTAGATCTGTTAGGACATAATTTTATATATCTATATTCATAAATAAGTATATATTACGATGTAAGGGCAACTATTTAATTGCAGGTGAAATGAGCAACAACGCTGGATTCGGCATCGGCGTCGGCATCCCCGTTTCCAACGGGCCGACCCTTGCGGCCACCCAGCAGGGTCAAGGAGTGGCCGCCCTTATGGTGATGCTCGCCGTTCTGTGCTTCATCTTTGCGTATTGCTGTTGGGGTGCACCCTTCTGTCGATCCCTATGCAGACGGCATTGTTGCTGTCGCTTGGAAGATCCCGATCCGGATCCACGGTTCGGCGGTAGTGACCAAGCCATGGTAGCGACGCCGACGATCATCCTCCTGCCGCATGGCAGAATGCTTGTCGTCGACGGCACGATTTTCACTCAGTTCCAAACTGATCCCACAGGTATAATTTGGAATTTTGTGCTTCTGGAATTAGAACAGTCACTACTAACAATAAGTAGAGTCAATTGAAGTAATGAAATCGGTCATTTAGAAAACAATATGGATGATTAAGTAAGAAACCAAATTAAAGAAATTAAAATAAGAGCCAAATTTATCTGTGAATAAAAGATGATAAAGAAATTTTTGATAGTACGCATATAACAGATACGTTGAGTACAAAATATACAAGAAAAAGTAAACTTTTGCAGTTCTTTATAAAGTAAGTATCTGCAATGGAGAAAAACGATCTACATTGTTTTTTAAACGATTGGCAAAATTACCGACAGTTATGTAGTAAATATATTTTGTATCCTTGCTACGAAATTTTGATAAACTCTTTAAGATAAATAAAATAAATACAAAATTTTTGGCAGGTTTAGACCTGGTGGAACTTGGCGATAGCGTGTTGCGCGCTCAGAGGAATCCGCGAAGCGTAAATCGTCATCAATTACAAAGCAGTCAAGGCAGTATCCTCGAAATGGACGCTGAAACACCTAGCAAGGACAGCTTAGGTTCCGTCGGATGTTTCCCACCGCCTACCTATGAGAGTATTTACGGCAAAGAGGAAACCGACATGCCTCCCTCTTATTCCGACATTCTCTTGCACAGGTAAATCATTTTTATATAAACTGGAGAATTAACTGATTATCTTAAATTCACCTCAATCCGTAGATTCGCCAATCTACCGCATGACATCGATATGCACGGCTACTGCAACGACGGCAAGGAGGAGATCGAGATGCAGAGTCTGGATAGTTGTCCGCATATCATTGGTAATCCGCTGAACTCGATGCCCGGATATCACCCTTACGCTACGGTGACAAGTCTGTCCAGTCTGCAGAGCTACCCCCGACGGAACGTTTCGCGCAATCCGTCCATTATCAGCAACCCGCTGGACAACTTTTACGTGGACAACGAGCTCAGTCTCTATCGTCTCAGTCGGGAGACAATGCCGCGGGTCTCCAGTAACGACGCGAACCTCGAAACCTTCCGCGCGTCTCACGATGAGATATCGTTCCGCGTTCCGCTCGACGAGAACGAGAATCATCGGCACGCAAGTCGCAACAATTATCAGGTCGCCGGCAACGAGCTGATGAATACGAGAAATCGCGCCCGCAGCGCTTCCAGGCTGAGCCAGGACAGCCGCAGGAGTTCGTTGAATCGCGACGTAGATCAACATCAGGTTTTCGTCAGGTTGCCCGATCCGGAAGAGATCGAGGCAGCGCGAGACAGACGTGCCGATGAAGATCAGCGACCTTCTCGGACGTACCGCGAAGATCAGAACGCCAGGAATCTACATCTGGATCATCCTCAATTGCAAGACGCGGTCAATTGCAACATCAGTGACGACGATCCCAGATACTTCGCGAGAAACAGGCGACTGGAGAATGAGGACAGGAATGAAGACGAAGCTGAGGGAGTTCAATATCCCGATGAGGAGGCTGGTAATTTCGGCGCGCTCGCTGATATTCGCGAAAGCAGAGTGTAATCCGAACTTTTAATTGCGCGTTCGCATTCTTTCGAGCGATTGCTAAAAAGGATATCGTCAGATCCGAAGTGCTTTAAAAGAAAAAAGTGTTGATTCTTTTAAATAAGACATAGTTTAAATTTAAAGAAATATTTATAATAAATAATTTTTATCTTCATCATCTTCATTAAGAACTTGTTGAAAAAGCCACAGCATTCTAATTTGTAATTAATGTTAACGTTCTTTTAATTCCGTAGCAAAGAATTGATTCTCTTTGCTCTTTATATCATGCGAATTTGCTTAAACGTTATATAATATTTCGTACGACAGACAAAGAAAGTTGCGCAGAAATTGCAAGACTTTCTGTGATGAGTTATTGTTTCAATTATATTTACACATGAACAAGTTGATATGATATCCGGGATTAAAAATTATGGAAATTGAGTCGAAAAGTTATGGTTACGACATAGATATTGCATTGTGCAGAAAATATAAGACGATGTTATAATTGTATATGTATATATATATGTGACAATATAATTGTACGTGACAGTCTAGTAAAATTCGTCACACATACACGTACATACACATGGTACATACACACACATGCAGTATTTTTGACAGACGATCGTACAGTATGAAATTGAACAACGATTTTTTCAACGGAATCTTGAAAGTATAGCTCTTACGTATGGTGACTAGAAAGGATTGGAAAGAAAAAAAAGAAAACGTAAACATAATTATAAGTTCTTTTGAGATATGCTGGACGAAAAATATCAAACGGAAATACCAAACAGTTTTTATTCTCTTACAAATTAATACAAATTGTCGATTATGCGATAAATTATGTTACGTAATCGAAATCCTTCTTGATCAAAAGAAAAACATCGATTAAAAGAAATTAGCGAAAGCTGAGCGATTTTCGATGTAAGTTTATACGCGAAAAATTGTGTTTAAATCTAACAAACGAATCATAGCAAAGTTAGTTCAGTCCGTCCAGGCTTTAACAAGCGCACTTAAGTTTCACGAGCATAACCGACAGCAATTTAATCATGATTAGCGATTTCCTCCCCCTCGATATTTTATAAGTAAGCTAAGCAGATGCCATGACCATTAAATAGTTGTACCATTAAAAAAAATAGTATGCTTCTTATATTATTTATAAAATACACTCTCTTTTCTCACTATTTTTGAATGGTACTATCCATTGGATACATCGAATGATTTTAGTATTTGCGAGAAGTAATAAGACGAACATAAATCTATAGTAACTAAAAAGAAAATGATTAATGGAGGTTTCAGGAACCAAAGAAAGATCTGTATTGAAATGGGGTAATTAGAGATACAGCAGAGTATCAAAACGTCAAATTGTACCAAGCATACTTTTCAGAAAGAGAACGTAACATAACGACGATTGGCTTTAGATACACTTCTCACGTACACATATACGTGTAAGATAATTATAGAAAGAATTATAAAACGTTGTACACACGTTATCACTGTTACCGTGTATCATAAGGACAAATCACTGACCGAGCGGTACTGAGAGAATAAAAATTTTGCATGAAGCATATATAATACTGTGTGCCTTCCTAGTTTTTAGATTGCTAAATGAACAATATAGACAACAGGATTTTTGTTTTACAATAGCTGATCATTTCGACCAAGCTCTTTTTCTTCCTTTGTTTTGAACCTAATTATAATAAAACAATAAGAAACAATTTACTCTGTAAGATATAATGTTATTCTATGGAAAAAGGAATATCTCCCTTCGAATACAAACGATATCAATATAAATAAATGCTTCTCATAACGAGAAACATATCTAGAGTTTCATTGTACATACATATTGTTAATTATAACGAACACCGGATAATAAAACACGGAAGGCCAATTATACGAATGCACAAATTAATAAATTGACAACTTTTTTTAATTCACAATATTTAAAGATAACGCGTCGTTCGATGTGAGAGCGGTCGACTTGTATTCAGCGGATTCTGATTCTCACCTCATGTATGTCTCGGTTTTATACGATTAATTGGAAAGTTGAAGGCTACGAGTAAAGGAATATGAAGTGAATAACAACCCGTTTCGAGGATCCATAGTTAATTCACGAGTCACAATATTTACATGCTTATTCCAAGAACTATCAGTGCAATTGACTATGTACACAAGCGATATCGACATTTTTATGACTAACTACAGTTATCTAAATGTCATATAAAAAATATTCACAGGAGAAAGATGTTATTTTCAATCCACGTCGCTGTCCATGTCCTCAGGAGCTGAAGAATCTTCTTCTTCTATATTCTTCTTGTCCCAGTCTTTCAACTTAGCGCCCATGACAAAGTCATCTCGAAGAACACTCCACATTTTGTGATCCTTAAAACAAACGTATTTCTATTGTTATACACAATTATACATCGCAACGTAAAACAGAATGTACCAATATCAATAAATATAATTATATATGGCCTTGATAAACGCATTCAAATATTTAATGCTTATTAAAAAGGATAAAAAATGGTATTACTACTCCTTTTCTATGTACTAATGTAAAAATATCAATATCGAATCTAATTTACATGGTAAATGAGAAGATTTACTCACTTTATCTTTATCGTTTGTCTGCCCAACAGGCTTCTCAGATTTAACTGCATTATCAACGGGTATGCTTTTAGTGCCGCCCATAAGGACATCAAGGAAGGAATTTTTGTCAATGCTCTTGAATACCTGTTCGCGTTTTCTTTCTAACGGTCCCGCCTGCGATAATTTCTTTTTAATCTCCATTTGCTGCTGTCTTACCGCATTAAACAGTTGTACGACTCCTCTGCAAAATACATGTATGAAGAATTTATCAACGAACAAAAGACAGAGAAGATTTATAAATAACTTACTTTGTGGCTATCTTTTGCAGCATTCTTTCATGCTCCCGATCTGTAATGGATGGTTTTAATCTGATACCACTCTTCTTCGTTATCCTTCTCGATTTACTCGATGCAGTATTCGCTGCGATATTTGTCTTATCAATAGCTTCTTCCGATTCTGTTTTGATCTCTTCTTTAATGCCATCGATCTCAAAAGAAATATCTTCTTTTCTCTCTTTTACTTTTACATCGCACAACTTCTTTGCCTTTGCCAGTACAAGTGTCTTTTTTCTCTTTGGTTTATTTGTCTTTAGAATCTTTTGCATAACATCAGCCCAGCCTGCATTCGAAGTAGATCCAGCATCATATGACGCCTCGCTCTCCATGTCACCCTCTATTTCTGAACCGTCTGACTCTTTTTCTTCGTAGTCACTGTCATCCTGATTATCGTTCCGTACCAATGCCGCACCAGCATTGTCTATCTCATCTGTCTCCGGTTGCACTGCAACGAGATACAAATTCAACTCGGGATTTTATCGAGGTAATTCTCAGAATATTAAGATTGATAACAATTTTGATAGAGATAATGTGCGGCTCCGTGAGATAGCAGTCGACTCTTAGTTGGCGAGTCTCAGGTTTTAGCCCGATCCCATGTATACCTCAGTTTCATACAAGCTTGATAGAATAATTATAAATAAAGGAGTATAATGTATATTCCATAATCTTAAAGGATCTCTGTATCAATGAGAATAACAATTTGATGTGTATAACCTGTGATACTAAGACACTTCTTCTCTATTAGCTTTAATTATACATTAAAATCCATTCAAGTAACTATTTTTTTATTTTATTAAAATATAGATCCCCAAAATGAGTTACCATTCGTGTCTTTCATTCATCCAACCTCCTCTTTGTTCTCCAACCAATCCCTTATAAAATCAAAGGCATACATGGGACAAAAGTCGAAATCGAATGGATCGCTCTCGCATGGAGCCACGCGTCACGCTTGTATTTATTTAAACAATCTTCTTGTATAGTCGCTTACTTGTAGTCCTTTTCTAATAGTAAAAACGTGGTATTGTTCGACGCACTTGTTCCAGCGGCTCCAAACATAACCACGTGGTCGTGAACTGGAGTCACGAATTAGACGTGTGCTGCCATCCAGCAGAATATTTAACTAATATTTTATTGATTAACAGCGGATAATTCAGTTAGTACGTTGGATAATAGAATTGATCGAGAGCTCACGAGATACTGAAGAGTTCTGTATTATATGGAAAAAAAATTATTATCATAAATAAAATAATTGATCTTTCTCTCTCTCTTTCTCTTTTTTTATTCAATTTTATAGCTAAAAATATTATATTTCTGTAAATAAACTGTTGTACGTTGTTGTAATTCAATGTATAAAAGCATGCAACGTTGCCTCTGTGGCAAAGGAAAATAATTGTTGATAACGAGATAAACAATTAGCGCGCGGCAGATATATCTGCCATCGACACCGTTTTGTTCTCTCGTATTATGCTACTCCCTCATGTTTTCGACATGACACACTCCAGATTCCAGATATTATTCTATTATATTCAACGCGTCACGCGGATTGACGACACGTGTCATTGAGAAACGACGAATCATTATTTTTAGCAGAGCGCACGCTATATAAGAACTCTTGTCTTCTCACGCCGTTCGTTTTCGCACGAGGCTACAGACGCGATAATGTATTTTGCTGCATAGAAAATATGATACCTCTATATGCGGCATGAAATATGCGCTTGTATTTCATAGAAAAATCCAATTAACACGCAATCGTCATAGTCGTGCAAAATTGACGTAAAAAGATGAAATCTCAATCAAAATGATATCATCTCAATCCCTTGTCGTGACAATCGAGTGTTACTTGACTTACTTGCGGGAAAGAAAAGGAAAATGAAATTAATGTTACGCTTTCCCCCGAGGCATTTACTTTCGTTTACAGAGAATTTATTGCAGCAAGAGCTTTTATTACACTACAGGGCATTATTAATCAAAGAGCAGTGATAAAAACTTTATTCGTAAAACGTATACGGATGATCGAGACAGAATATGTTAATTTTTGAGCAAATATGATTTTAATCACGGCGTGTTTGCATAGAAATTAAACACGGGAAATCCGCCGAGTTGTAGATATGCAAACACAATTAAATCCGGTTTTAAATCCGCTGAGTTTTCCTTGCATTGTGCGCGTTCGTCAATTGTCTGATTGCGTTGAATCCGGCTTAAAATTGGCTAAATGCACGTTCTCGTTTACCTTGCGCGTGACGTACGACTGGTATTGGCGACTTAGCGCGAATACATATGTTACACACATGTCACTTTTTTAATCTCTTTACTTCGTTGACTATTCTTAAAGAAACCGCTGGGGCGGGTCTGCGCGTCCGAGCCAAAGTGAAATATATTTTGCTCGTAACTGTAAAACTTATTATTGCAAGCCTGTTAGAAGATATTAAATAAACGATGTTTATCAAAATGACTAAAATCGTCAACTACAATGTAGACAGAGTTTCATGAATTTTTTTAGATTTTTTTTAATACTTTAAGGGCCGGTTGTTTCAACCTGTTGGTAAACTAACTAATAGTTAAATCATATATGTGTCTTTGTTTTTCCTTCAAATTAAAGAAGGATATACATATGATTTAACTATTAGTTTTACTTTAAAAAACCTTACAAAAATTAAAAAAAAGCGCAACTAGAGCAATTCACATTTGTATCGTCTTAACTATTCTAATTATATTTGCTTCATCTCGTCTTTTTTTCTGCATGGAAAATTGGTTTGGTAAGGAAGAAGGAAAAAAAGAGGATACACATTGCGTTCTTTTCTCACTTTCATCTCTTTAAAACACATTTGTATGCAATAGATGACGCAAGAACATGCAGTTGAAGCAAACAGATTTATTCTAACCACTCTGTCATCGTTGTTATATATACAAATACAACGCAGAAAAAAATCTGCTCCAGTCAGGTACACCTTCTGCACCTCCTTCTCTCCCCCTTTCTCTCTTTCTCCCCACTGGGCTCGATCGTCCGTCTCCTTCCGTCTCCTTCCGAGTTCCGAGCGCTTGGAAGTCAACTTGGAAGTTGGAAGGGTAATCTCGCACAGCTGAGAGGAGTGAGAGGGACAGACTCGTGGAATTGACGGCGCCGCGCGCCAGTCAGTCGCTGTCATCGCTGACAGTCCGTGAACCGTCGGTGACAGTGTGACAGTATCGCTTGGACAGTCTCGATCCGTCATTCGAAGGGTATAAGCGCGGTCGATCCGGAACTGAGAGTCCGAGCTCGCGACGACGCGCGTCCTCGCAAAATGGCAGAACGAAGCCGCGCGGGTTACCTCGCGCTCCTTTATCTCGCCTGCCTACTCGCCCAGGCGGTGCGCTCGAACCCGGTGAACATCCCCCTGAGCCGAGTGTCCTCGCGGCTGTTGGAGAAGGCGTGGAGGGCCCTGAACGACCACTCGCCGACGCATCACCTGTACGCGCACGGCAATCTGATAAACGCGCAGGAATTGGTGAGTCCGCGCGACATGCGACGTCGCGGAACTTCCACGGGGAAATCGAGGAAATTCCGATTGCGCGTCCCTCGCAGCGCATTTGTTTTTATTTTCGACGCAGCCGTGTGGCTACTGTGGCTTGCCACAGTCGATGAGCCAATCCCTCTTTGTTTATTAGCAGCGAAAATGACTTTGCAGATATGCGTCGCAAAAGCTGCACGTAGCGTCGAGGGATAAAGGATAATTTTATCGGTGGAGAGAGTGAAGACGAGATTTCTACCTATAATAAAAATACTGAGTCAGATTATCCTTTGTTTGCCATTGTTTGCTTTTGTTGATGTGACGAGAATTAAATTGTAAATTAAGTTAAATTGCTTAATTGTTATTATCAATGCTGTGAAAATTAAATTGTAAATATCACGGGCGATATACATTGACCAAGATATTTGCTTATGCTATCATTAATATGAAAGACCATAATTGCATAAATTTGTTTTCCTTAAAAATAATTATTTGACAATATTTTGAGCAACGTTATGAAGAAATCTAATAAGATTCTAAAAGTATAAAGGTTCCCCTTTTGTCTCTTACTGCAATAAAGAATGAGTTGTACGTATAGAATGCTGGATTCTATTTATAGATAATCTTTTTTCACGGCACGAGAAATATAAACAGCTAGAGGTATCAAGGGCGTCAGGTGATTGCATGATTGCAATGATTCTTTTTATTCGTTTTCCTGGAAAGACACGTTTGATGAATGTTTTCTTTAACAATCACGACGCTGTTTCTGAGATCCTAAAGATAAAGATGTTATTTGCCGGATTCTTCCAAGAGTGCTGCAGTGTTGTGCGTGACATTCAGTTGATGTAGATAATTGGTAAATAATTGGTAACAATTTCGTAGTTATTAGTCAGAAGTGAAAAAGTTTGTTTTAGTTAAAGTTAAATCAAAATGTAACTGTTTTGGATTCTTGTATACCTACCGTTTTATCTCCTTCTTCAGGGTGTTGTTTACATGAAACTTTCTTCAAAAAACGTGGATAAGATAACATTTAATTTTATTTTTAATCGCACGACGTATCAACATTGTAAACTGTAATGTACTGTACTAATGCGTGTCAAGGTGGTATATATTTCTGTGCGTGTGTTCGGCAATGATAAACCGAGATAATAACGTTCTGGGTTATCGGGCCAAGTTGGTACTCAGGCCAAGCTGTACTCGGCTGAATGGAACGTGGGAGATGTTACTGCGCAGCAGATTTCTGTTTTTAAGCATAAATATTATCCAGTTTCACATTTCGCAACAGCGAAATAATCGCTGCAATGGCTGGAATTATAAACGAGGCTTATTGTTTCGATCGATAACGATTATATCAAATAAGCCTGATTAACCGTAAGACGATTTGCCTTTAATTCCTCGTATAAATAACTCCGTTATTATTATTGCAGGAGGAGCCGCCTTACAAAGTATACAAATTCACGTATGACCTGAGTCCAATATGCGGAACGGAGTCTTGTCCCAGAGAGGCCTGTACTATCGACGTAAAGCAAGACGAGCGCGGCGACATAGAGACGCTGAATGATTCCATTCAATGCATGTATTTCTATCCAGCCGATGCGCAAAATGACATGTCGCAGGAGCAGCAGAGTTATCAGGAGCAGGAGGAATCTCAGGTCACTCAGGAGAACTTGGCCGAACAGGTGAACAACAATCGAAGCGTGGAATTGGATCATGAGGTCCAGGAGACCGGCGACGAGAACGTCAGACCGTTCATCGCCATGCGCGCTTCCGGCAACTACTGTCCAGGTTGTCCGTACGAACTGAATCCGAATCTGCCGGGTCTCCTCTCCTTCGGCGAGCAAGCGTTGAGATCGATGGACGAGCAGACCGCGAGCGATTACAAGCACAAGTTAATGAGCATTGTGAGGGTCACCCGCTCGGTACCGGTCTCGTCTAACGTGATAGAGTACCAGTTGCTGCTGCTGATAGGCGAGTCCGAATGTCTGAAGAATGCCCTGGAGCAAGAGCAGGAATGTCAGCTGCGAACGACCGTTCCGACCAGGTTGTGCCTGGTCACGTTCGAGCAACGACCGTGGCAACAGACGTCTCTCAGAATTACTAAGAACAATTGTACGGATCCCGAAAACGCGTCTAGCGCCAAGCCGCAAAGAGTGTCAAATTTGGAGAGCGAATCCTTGGTGACGGTCAAGTATGATGAAGGAAAACCGTCTGGCACCGAGATGGCCGACGTCTATGAAAGCTTGAAGGAAATGTTGGACAATTACACCCACGCGCCATCGATGCCCTCGAAGGAGCCCGAGGAAGCGGAGGTGACGGAATCCGCGGTCGTAAAGGTAATGTTGAACAAGAGTCAGGACGACGAGAAGATTTCAGGCTTTACGGATAAGGCGAAGGAGTTCAGAGAATTCTTGGAAGGCTTTGATCTGCCTATCAAGATGGAAGATGCTACAGCTGACACAGCTGGAGCTATGAAAGAAGTCAAAGAAGAGAAATTTCAGCGAAAGAAGGTGGAGGATTTCAAGCTCGAAAAGGTGAACAATAAAGAGGACGTTAATAATAGGCAGAAACGATCGCAGCGCTTGGTCGGTGCTCCCGCGACAACGCCCATAGACGATCCTGAGATCAAATTGTACGCTGATAAAGCGCTGCGCAAAATTTCTGCGGAATCGGACAGTGCGAACGAGCCGCTCATAGTGGAGATCATCGAGGCGAGCGTCCAAGTGGTCGCCGGTAAACTTTACAGGATCAAAGCCAAGCTGGGCACTAGCGATTGCCCAAAGGGCACCAAGGACAACTGCCAGTTGCAGGCAGGAAGCGACGTAAAAGAGTGTCTGATAAAGGTGTGGTCGCGACCGTGGATCGATCAGGATTCGCCCGAAATAACGGTGGAATGTCCCCCGTCAGAAAGTAAGAGGAGGAAACGGTCCCTGCGCGGCGCTAATTACAACAAGAATATGATGCAGATCGTAGAAGAAATGAGGATCGAGCGTCTGTTCAACAAATTCGCGGAAACCTACAATCGGGCGTATTCCACGCCGGAGGAGAGAAATTCGCGACTTCAGATATTCCGCGAGAATCTCCATATCATAGACCTGCTACAGGAGACCGAGCAGGGAACCGGTCGCTACGGCATAAACATGTTCGCCGACATGTCGCGCGAGGAGTTCCGAAAGCGTTATCTCGGTCTGCGACCGGACCTGCGATCGGAGAACGAGATTCCTCTGCGTAAAGCCGAGATCCCGGACGTCGCTGTACCACCCAGCTTCGACTGGCGAAAGAAGGGCGTCGTGACTCCGGTGAAGGATCAGGGCGGCTGCGGTTCGTGCTGGGCTTTCTCAGTGACGGGCAACGTCGAGGGCCAATACGCGATCAAGCACGGTCAGCTGCTGTCGCTGTCCGAGCAGGAGCTGGTGGACTGTGACGATCTCGACGACGGCTGTGGCGGCGGCTTGCCGGACAACGCGTACAGGGCCATTGAGAAACTGGGCGGTCTCGAGCTGGAGTCCGACTATCCGTACGAGGCGGAGGACGAGAAGTGCCATTTCAAGAGCAATCTGGCCAAGGTACAGTTGAACTCCGCTGTCAACGTTACGTCGAACGAGACGCAAATGGCGCAATGGCTGGTGGAAAATGGTCCAATCTCCATCGGCATTAACGCTAACGCCATGCAGTTCTACGTCGGCGGCGTCTCGCATCCCTTCAAATTCCTGTGCAATCCCAATAGTCTGGATCACGGCGTGCTGATCGTCGGATATGGCACAAGCAGTACGTATCACGCTGAAATAATTTTGAACATTGAAAAGTATATATAAATAGGAAAAACACGGCAAAAGAAAGCAGAACTTACGTTGTATTTTCTTTTCCACAAAGATTCAGAGAAATTAATTTTAATCATCGCTCTCGATGATTATGGTTTTACAACTTAATCTTATATTTTTATACCTACTGTTAATAAGTACACATATAATCCAATAATCAAGAATACGTATTTCACTAATTGTAAGGATCAACATTCTTTTTAAGACGTGCTACATTTTAAACTTATATCTCTTTACAAATAGCGTTACGATTATTCAGCGCGATAATAGAAACGATATTACATTCAATATTCTCTTTTCAGGCTATCCGCTTTTCCGCAGAAAGCTACCGTATTGGATCGTCAAGAACAGCTGGGGAAAATCTTGGGGTGAACAGGGATACTATAGAGTTTACCGCGGGGATGGTACTTGCGGACTTAACAAGATGGCCTCGAGCGCCGTGGTTATTTAATGCCGACTACGTAAATAAGTTTTTCATGACAATTAACTTATAATCGTTCTGAACGAAGTTATACACTATACATGCATATAGAGATATCCTTTTCTACTAATTAATGTCGATTTTTAAAACTAAATCCATTCGTTTGCCACATATTTGACGAACGTGACCTCATTATCAATCTACACTATGTATTATAGTATCCACTCGATATGATATTCAGTTTAATTGTGCAAGTATCTGGCAAACGTATGAATCATCTGGAGCCAACCAAGTATATATTGTGCTGATCGAAGCTAAGTTTAATTCTTTGCATATCTATACCGGGATAAAAACGATGTAATCGTTTACGACAATCCTATGAGTTTGTTGAAAAGTTCAAAACTACATTATATATAGTAATTCGCTAATATTTCGCAAATCTCTTTATAAAATAATATAGATAGTACATAAATATTTAAAGTGTGTTAAAATGTGCAATGATGTTGAAACTACAGCAATAGACGATGTTAAATGTTAACTTCGCTAAATTTTAATTGCGTGTGTAAAAATCAGTAAGTAAAAAGTGAAAGTGTAACCCTCCCGCTCCGAGACGCTTTTATATTTTACAGTTTTTAAGTTTGTTGTAGACCGTCAGCATTTTTTAAAAAGTTTTACAACGAATTTCTGACTTTACGTAGGTCCTGAAGAGTAGTTTTATATGCAATTTATTAACTTGAACAAAGAGCGAAAAAAATAATTTATAAGAAAGTAAACAAAACAAGGAAATAAATAGGAGTTCGATTTTTATTGAACGCAATAAAGATAACTATGCGAAACCATGTCAATTTAATATACCTGGAATTTTTAACATAGGTAAATATATTCAAAACCTAAATTGATGTCGTTAAAATCCTTATAATAATATGTATGTTGAACATATTGAGAAACGTATCTAACAATAACAAATTAATAAAAATTAATAAAATTTTGTTCTCTTGACGTAACTATGTTGAATTGCAAAATTTATATGAAACAGGAATGATGAAAGTTATTTAATTTCACAGTTTTAATTGTAAGTCTAATTTTAATTATAAGTTGTATACTGGTATATATTAGAAAAGAGAGAGAGAGAGAGAGAAATACTCAACAGCGGAATAATCGTAAACTTATAAAAGCAATTGTTATTTTATTGTTTCAAATAATCAAAAATCATTTATTTTTATATTGAATTTTTCATTAAATCGCATTGCGATACTTACCGAATATCATCGAAATGTAATCGTATATTCTACGTGTCAAATCTTCAACAAATCTTCAATAAAAAGAAATCATAGGTTCGAAGCAATACAGAATACTTATTTCAACATTAACGAAGGACATTTTTTAATATCCTTTGCTGAACAGAACTTGTTTAAAAAAGTAATTCCAAAATGGAGCGAACAAATTTAACAAGGAATATAAAGGATTACAATATGCGACGATCACGATTTCTTCGAGAAAAGTAAGTAAGTCTGTCGATTTATATAAATCGACAATGACATACAAATTTGGATCTGCTATATATCATAATATATCCAACATGATGTAGTGTGTCGTAACACAGCACATTTCTTAAACTTCATGTAACTTCGTTGACATTATGCAATAATTTCGAAATCTATAATTTATTAAGAATTATGGATGTAATCTGTGAAATCCATTTCTGCACATTTAATGCTATAAAGCCGCAACGCTTTGAAGTTATGTGAACACACAAAGAGAAAGGATTCTAGGAAAACTGTACACCAGTAGCAGGAATTTTACTCATTCATTTTCTCAGTGAATTATTTTATACCTTTAGCTGGCATTTTTTAAATATATTTTTCCTGATATAAAATATTCCAGTAAGTATGATTTGAATCGTTTCTAAAATAAAAACTGCAATAGAATTATTAGTCGATTATTAATATTTTTTTAGTGCAACATAAAATAGCAATATAAACGAGTGCCAGAAGTAAAGTTCTGTGTTAATGATATACAGTTTATTCAATACATACAGTAAATATCCATGCAAGGTATCAATTGCTGATTTATATATAGAGAGAAACGCTTGGCATATAAGCTCTCACATGTCAAGATACCAAGATGCTTAAACAATTAATAATTCTTTCGTCTGCTTCGAAATCGGTAGAATAAAACGCTAGAGAATGTACAGTAGGACACATTTAATGGTATGATAGTCTTAGAGGCGATTATGTGACCGATATTAATAATAATTGTAAGATCCCCACTGATTATAAGGTCCGTAAGCCTGTGGGCCGCCTTGTCCATACTGCCAATTTTGGTAGTTAGCATAATTGGGATCTGATGGAGGTGGGTATTGTTGGTAACCTTGTTGATAACCACCCTGACCGCCGTACTGCCCGCCCTGAAACTGCTGTGGCGACTGATAAGGCCCGCTTGGACCGCTGCTGTACTGGTATGAAGACTGCGAGCCCACGGACGGTGATGGTGGCACATTTGATTGATCGGCTTTCTTCTTCGGAGGCGAAGAATCGCTGTAACGACATCATACACGGCATTATAAGATAATTTTCTACCGCAAGCAATTTCAATATATGTCTATAAGCTCCATAAACATAAATAAATGATATATTTGTCCATTTCAATTAGATAGAAACTATATATTAATTATATTTAGCAATATTTGTTTCACATATTAACCAACGCGTTTGTTGAACTTGTATGTTCTATTAAAATATTTTAATTATATTTAATATGTAAGACAATACAACGTTAAAATCACTTAATGTTACTTTGTAAAACTAATTATCTTCATTTTAGATTTTTTATAAATACTTACGTTTTGTTGTCGTCACCCTTCGTCTTTTTCCTCTCTTTCGCTTGCTTGATGCATTTCTGGAATTGTTCGTGAGCCTTCAACACTTGCCGGATGTCGGGGCTGAAGTCTTCCAGGAATTCTACTTTACGTTGCGCAAAAAGCACTCTCTGCTCAAGATCTGCGTGTTCTCTTTCTATGAACATGTCCATGTAGCCTACTATTTCTTGAGTGTCAACTGGCGTTCGTTGCATTGCCAAATCTATTAATTGCAGGTACAGCCTGGGATTGTCTTTATCTTTATCTGTGGCCTATATAAAAAAATGTAATGCACGTATTAATTTCACCGAACACAAATCGTCATAATACGTAGTCGAGATCGAAATTAATTTTGTATTTAAACGTACCTTCATCAATACTTTAATTGCCCGCTCAACATCATCCTTGACTTTACACAGGAATCGCGCGTATTTTACAGCAATATTATTAGCGATCGTCCTGTTCTTGCTATTACTAATGTAATTCTCATATAAGGTACACGCCTTCTCCAAGTCTCCACGGCGGCGTTCTAAGTTTATTCGTCGATATGCTACTTGTAGCATATTTGGCAATACGTTATCAATATTCTCTAATATGGCGGCAGCTTTCTCAAAGTTATCCTGACCCTCCTCAAAGATAGCCCATTGCAAATGCAAGTTTGGTTTTTTTGGATGATGTACCATACAAGCCCTCGAATATACATCGCGGATCTTTTCTGTGTTATCTCCCTTCAGCGATTCCAAATAACGCACAAACTACGCAAATAAAAAAACAAAAATACTTATATTATACCACATGATTTTTAATTATACACTTATCGAATTGTAATATAATATAAAAAATTATTAGATATTTTATAAATATTATTCAAAATAAAATGTGATACATAGGTGATTTTTAATTATGTTTGAAGTAGTGACAAGAGAGAATCAGCTTCTATGTAGTAATAATATATTAAGATTGACACATTTACTTACTCGCATCCAAAATTCATCATAAAGTGCACAAGCTATAAGACACCTCTCGAATAAAATGATTATTCGATTCTGATCCTTTTGTTCAATCTCGAAATCTAGGTACTCCTTCCAGTTTTTCAACTGACACCGTTCCAATGGTTTTACATGGAAATATGGTCTCTTTATCTGTTAATTATACATCATACAGTTAGACCAATTTGCTCTAGACTGTAAACTAATTTGAATTTTGTTTCAATGTGAGATTAATGCATCCAAATCTTTTAATTTAGAATATACTTTTCTACTTACAACATAAAACATTGTAAAAGATTGACTTCTGTACTACAACGAATCCACATTTACTGCGCGATTAGGTAGAGCTACGGTGAGGGATCGAAATGAGTGAGAACTTTTTTTTCATTTACAGCAGTGAAACATTTCAACGCATTGAAATTAAGAAGTCTCATTTTTGCTAATAATAATTTAAAGCGTGATCATAATGAACATATATAATTATAATCAAATGTCATGTACCCCTTCCTCATACGACCATCTCGCTGCCACCGCATTGACGTTTGCTTTGTGCATTTTACGCCTGCTGCTAATGATCTTCTCACGGATGGCACGGGTCTCCTCGTCAGTGGGTGGTACCTCGTGGGGTGGCGGTTCTTCACCGGGCGGTGCGTCATCAGCCGCGGATGCCGCGGTGGCGTCGTCTGATTTGAGTAGGGCCTTTACTTCGGCGCGTAGCTCGAGGAAGTCGTCCACACTTAGGATACGATTCGGCAAGTTGGATGATACGAATTCTTGGAAGGCTTCGAAGTGGGAGGTGTAACCAAGAGTAGGTGTCGACAGTAAACGATCGTACAGTGCTGTCACCCTGCTTAAGCGTTTTGCTTCTGACTCCCACTTTATGTAGCTCTCCCAGAGACGATCTGATCTGTTTTACATTAAATTGTTTTACGTTATATTATTGTATTATTATATTATATTTGTTCAATCCACGCTAATTGTTTATCAAAGTAAATCTTTATCAGCATACTAATCAGCTATGTTATATATTAACAGTTAAAGTACTAAAGAAATAAATTGACTTTATTAAATCACTTTTCTGTCGACAAGTACATATAGGAGCAACACTATATAAAGAAATACTATAAAAACTAGAAGATCTATAGGTTCATTAAAGAGAAACTCTAGATTCGTTACCTGAACTCAAGCCCGCAAGCTTGTATGGCTCGTTCGTACTGCTCACGGAGCTTCTCTTCATCTTTTTCGTAAACGGTTTTACAGTGGTTGATGTAATGGAGCCAGAGATCGACGCTTAGCGAAATAGCTTTCAGACCTTGGTCGAACACCTGCGGTAACGGATTCGTGGATCGTATTTAGAACAGTTTACAACTGGGTTGGGCTTATCGGCGGGTAGATCTTATACCTATTTTGCTTTTAGCTTTCGTTAAGCATTACGGTCTTTTTTTTTTTTTTTTTTAGCAACGTATACTCACATATCGTACGCTTACTGTAAATAAAGAGATTTAATTAACACAGAGATTGCAGAGCATTGTGCATTCACCTTAAGAGTCAGGGAGTGTTCCGATCTGGGCGCCACAGTGTCTTCCGCCACTCTTTCTTGCTCCCACTCTGGCACGTGCACGTGTCCTAAGTCTTTGTCTCTGACTTTGACTTAACACCCAACCCGACATATCTTACTTACATAAAGTAAGAGCGCATATATCTTATGCTTAAGTTTTACAATACTTTCTGTAGTAAGCTATGTGTACAAATGCTTACAGTAAATATAACACAGTTTTCTTTCTTTCTATCGCGATAAAGGCGCTTCGGAAACAACTAGCCATCTCGCTCGACTTACGTATCGTACGATAGAGTACTTGATGTATTCGATATATCGGTAAGATAGTAAAATATGTAATATAGCATTTTTGTAGATATCGCAGGATATTAATTAAATAAGTAACTATTTTGTAAACGAAGAAAGTCGAATAGGTGCCGCAAGACGTGCTATGCTGTTGGAAGGGAAAACCATATTTATGTGCGTGCACACTGCCCACGCGTCTTCCTAACTCGAGCTATTTTCATTAGATTGCGTTAATTATAATGATATCATATAATAAGAGATAGCCTAACGAACATAATATACGATCGGACTCACCGTTTGGACATTTTCGGGGTTGCCCTTCTTCTTCTCGTAATCGGCGAACTTTCTCCAGTAACCGTAGCAATATGGATAACGCTCCAAGAATTTGGTGTAAGCTTCGCGCGCAGCCTCCGCATCGTTCTGTAACAAAAACGACAAAAAATGGAATATTACTTCCAACTCATTAAAAAAAATGTCTGTACATCTCAAATATGATGTCTTAAATTGATTTGATATTTTCAATTAAATATTAAGGATAATTAAGAATGACTAACACAGACTGAATTTTAAGGTAAAGTATAAAAACTTGAATTTTTTACTTACTTCTTGATCCACGTATTGTAAGAGATATGTCCATCCAGTGAAATCAGATGGATCTTCATTAACGGCTTTCCAATATTTTTCTAGTTCGGGCAACGTTTTCTTTTTCGGCGATGCTGGCTTGATCTCTTGCTTATCTCCCACCTCCGCATCGCTCGACAAGGCGACCTTCTTTGCTGGTGCCTCGTCATTGTTCTCAGACGTCGGAGAACTGGGATCGTATTCTCCTTCCGCGTTCAATTTACGTTTGGCTAAAAGTACAAGGAACATGTAAGAAGGTCAGTTTTAGACTGTAAAATTTTATAGAACAGTGTAAGAAATGCACTTACTTCCGGCTTCCGCTTTGGTTTTCTTCTCCGGTGTTTTGTTCAACTTCGCCGCACTCTTTTTCTTTTTGTCACTATCCGGTGGTAATTCATCTTCGGACACGGATTCGGTTTCACCTAGGTCTGCTGGAGCAGCAACCGGCAGCTCTTCGTCGGAAACTGCTTCGGTCTCTGGTTCCTGTACATTTAAAGTTATTTATGGTATCAAGTTACGAATTAATTATTATACAGAATCCAGGGAGAATATTGACTATGTATATCAAAGATGCGAAACTAACGCTTCTGACCTTGGCGGCGGCTTCGGTCGGTAATTCATCCTCTGACACAGCTTCCGTATCAGGCTCGGTCTTTTTTGTGTCTTCTTCTTCTTCGTCATTTATGTATTCCTGCACGACTTCGTTTTCAGCTTCAGCTTCAGTTATTTCTATACGCGGCAGAGAATCACTCTGCAACTCTTCCATATCTGGTTCTTCCACCTTACCCATCAGTGTCTCGACATCCTCAGACATTTCTTGCTGCGACATTTCTTCGCCTTCGTCAATTTCCATAACCTGGATCCTGGTAACGGTGTGCGCGGACATGTCCTCTGAATCTACCTCCTCCGCTTCTAGAATCTCCTGTGTCATCGTACTGCCGTCTTCATTAATAACTTCTTGAAAGTCTATCAGCACGCGTTGCTGATTTGAATCGTCATTGCTGACATCCTGACCTTCCATCTCAATGTCCTCACGTTCAGCCAGCATCTCTACCTTGTCCATGCTACTGTCTTCCATAATTATATTGGAATGCCGCTAAAAATAAACCGAGTTTTAAATACAACGCGATACAAAGTGGTAAAAAATAGTAGTGGTCTATTTCCCTAGATTAAACATAAAGAAAAAATGATATTACTTACCGTGTCTTCTTCATCCTGCTCTATTTCTTCGCCTTTTTGATTCACATTTATTTCATGTATATTAGCATCTTCAGAGTCCTCCAATTCCAAGTGCAACATAGGAGTGTCTTCCTCGCTGCGCTGCTCGACAATAACGTCCGCTAGACGTTGAACTCCGTTCTCGGGCATACTTTCCATCATGCCTTCTTCCAACGTAGATGTAGTTTCTTCCTGTAATTACATTTAGTTACTTAAAAACTAATGTTTCCATATTATCTCCTAATTATGCAAATATCGTTATCATTTACATACATTAGTTGCTTTCCATTTACACTCGAGTGATCTGAGTTACTCAGTTAGATGAGTATTTTATACTCAGGTAAAATATGTCATTTTGTATTTACCTGCTTATTTTGGTGACAAAGCTATCGCATAATAATACAGGTTCATAGCCTCACTTTTAATGTGAGTCTATTAGATTCATTAAAGCACATGGTCTCGATTGTGGATAAAAACTCAGTTGAAGCTCACTTGCCAGCATGCAAAAAGAACGTGCATTCAACTGAGTTATGACGTCACAAGTGAGAATTATCTGAGTTTTATGCAAATGGAAAGCAACCATTATATGACATAAAGGATATTATTACAATTCAATATTTTAGAGTTGTATGAACATTATTTCATGCTGTCGTTGTTCTAACAAAATATATCTGATTGATGGATTATTTGCTCCTCTTTGGATTGCAACTCCAATTATTTACATTAAAGAAAAGTAAACAAAAGGTCTAGCTGACGCTTCGCTATTTCGTTTGTCTTATCGCCAGATATCGATGAAAAGATCGTATCAGTCGCCGATGACGTTAATCCATGCAACCGGTTTCGAAAGGTCTGACCCTTACCTCAACAACCTCCTCGATCTCATGGACCTTCCTCGGGGAGCGCGTCGCCTGGGCGAGGAGCTTCTTCACCGACGATTTCTTGGCCGCTGTCTTCACAACCGCTGTCTTTCGAGTCCGACCCGACCTGGTGCGTCTCACTGAAAGAAATAACGAAATACTTGTATAATACTCCAAGCTGCGCCGAGACGCCGTCTCGTCGAAATGGCGGTCTCGTGGGCTGGGCGGCCGCGCCGGGCGGCACGTCCTTGGTGACGCGCGGTTCCTCGGCAACGACCCGACGATCGATCAGGGGTGATCAGCACGTTACTCGGAGCTTCGTTCTTTACCTGGCTCGGCCAGCTCGACCTCGGCCTCGTCACCGCTCGCTGAAGACATCGTGCTCTCGGTAAAATATCCGGAATGTGTAGCGCAGAACCGCGGACGGATAATGGCGCAATGGCGGCGCAACACTTCGAAACAGGGTTGCCAATCGCAAAACCACGCAAAACACGCAGTTTCGTCAAAATCGGAGCAACGCGCTGCGTTGCGCGCTCGTCCTGCCCGCTTTTCAAAATCGCAAACATCGGCATCGCGAGACCTGCATTACCGGCGATCAATAGTAGACTACGTACCCGGTGTCTTTAAAATAAAAAGAACAATATTTTTTGTTAACGCAATTTGCAGTTTTGCTATCTTCTACAAAAAAATATTGAAAATTCTTCTATAAAAAAGTTGAATTTTATAGAGATTCGAATTGCTACATTAACGTTGAACGGGAAGAAGACGGGCTTTAAGGGGATCCTAAAGCCATCTGTAATACCGGCTTTTTTTCTTAGCACTAATCTTTTAATTGACTTTATAGAAATGCAAAATTTTTGTCTAGAATTAAAGTACGCATCAAAATCTAGGTCATGGTGGTCAAATTTATATCGAAAACAAAAAAAAATTAATATTTTTGTTAATTTTTGGTATACGTAACGACAATATTTGCTTTGTACAAAAATTCCACGATAAATATCCACAAAATTAGAACGGCATGACCTAGGGACAACATTTAAGAACAATATCGTGCAATTAGATCTAAGATTGAAAACCTAGAAAAAAATATTACTTTATATAACTTTTATATGTGCAAAAGCACATTCAGGTTGACAGGATAAGCAATATTGCGTGTGGCAAGAGATGGCGCAGTAATCGAACAAAGACAGATGCCTCTCGTTAGACAAGGACAGATATAGATATATGACAAGAAAACAGAATTAGAAATGTTGACATTACCGACGTCGAGGAAGTTCAGCCTTCACTTTAGGATGCCCTTAAAGTGAAGATATTCTAAGGTGATTGGACAACATAAGCACATAGGTTTTCTGCATATTGTAATAAATTATGTTTTATATATAATCATTCTATGTACATATATAGTATAAAACGTAATATATGCGAATACTTGATCTAGTTGTGCAAGCACATGGTTCGACGGCGTTTCATATCGTAGCGTGACTCAAGGGACAACAAGTCATAGCTTCAGTCTCTTGATGTCTTCCGGTCGGAAGTCTATTCGAAGGGACGCAATACGCCGCACTTCCGACGGCGTTAATCGCCACGCTATCGCGTCCGCGCCGCAGTAGTCGGCCAATTCCTCTACCTTCTCTATACTCAGAATGGTGGCGATCTGCGTTAAACGCGCGAATTTGTCTCTCACCGACCAAGACGTGGCAGCTGCTAAGTAACTGGCTAACGACCTTATTTCCTTGTCCAATATCAGACCCCCTGCCTGAAATGCGCAGATTTCACTTATCAGCATTGCGTTACGAATAAAAATGCGAAAAAATTAAATTAGATTTACGAGCGCAGATTTATCTGCGAGAAATTAGATGAAACTATTCACCACACAGAATTACTGATATAAATGATTATAAGAGGATAGCGTAAATTTAGCGCACGTACCCGATTAAAGGTCGATTTCAAGACAACTTTTTCTAAACGGGCTGTAACTTCCGCGGTCAGAAGTCCGATAAGCGCGTCGTAATTGGAGGTCGTCAAGCTATCTTTGAATCCTTGAAGTAGACCCTCTAGGTTCATGATTAATGTCTGCACAAATGGCTCATCCGTCTCGTATCTCAATAATTCGTCCTGCATATAAATCATTCGTTATATATTTAAAGACACACAAAATCTATTTATCTCTACGGAATATACCTCATTGATATGATGATCTATAGACAGAAACGCATCAAGCCACGGAGTGACTCTGGGCTTTACGGCGCTGACGCGTAACTGTTCCAGGCCGCAATCGATGATGCCACGTAATATCAGTATAACTCCCTTGAGACTGGATAAGCAGCTGTCAATTTTGCCTCTATCCTTCTTCAGCATGTTGGGGAACGTTGCATCTATCTCCGCGCCGAGACTCTTGCACAACGTTTCCACATACTCCGTGCTCACATCGGCGTTGTTTAGGTACGCCTAAACAACAAATGAACGCAAATAATAATTATAGATATGTAATAAAACTGTTTAATAATATATTAATACGTAACGAATAACATGTAAAACTATAGATTTTAAAAACTGTACCAAGAACGTGAGACGGGCGCATTCCGTGTCCGATGTTTGCAGACGACCGTGCTGTATGCTTGTCTGGAGAGCGCTGTACGCTTGTGCCAGGTCCAGGTAGCCCGCTGGGTAACCCTGACGCAATCTGTTTCTTAATCTGTTCGCAAACTCGCCTTCCAAGATGCCGCAAGCCATATTGACGACAGCACAAACGCCGTCTATACTCCAACTCGACATAGCCCGTCTGCAGGGAAACTACATTGTGATTTTCAACGATACACATAACATAAACGACTGCGTGAATCTGACGATATGTACCGTACGCATTTCTGCACTATGAAAAATACATCGTCAACCATGCTGGAAGTCTGCTGATCTGGATCTAGTGCATCCATTCCTAGGGCCTTGTTCACACTCTCCTCGAGAAAGTATCTTTCTAATGCGAGATAGGCACCAAGCAGCTCTTGCATGCCGTGCGCCAATTCAGAGTTGTTTATTGTCGTTTCAAATTCGTTAAGCAATTCTGTACGCTGCGCCTCGTCTGTGGTACTGATCTCTATATCATTCTGCAAAACAAGCAACATTGTCAATGTAACAAATTGAAAGATTTATAATTAGTAAAGTTTGTACCTTAATCCTTCTCTTTAAGAAACGAATATAAAGTTCTGCCCTCGAATGCATTATAGTTATTTCTCCCAAGAGGAGATCGAGCTCCTTAGGATCGAGCCTTTCAGGACTCGGTTTTCGCAAATACTCATTTATCATTTGTACATTCTTGGATATACATCTATGTTTCGTAAATACTGTAACAATCTTCTTGACCTGTCTATTTGTAATAAAAACAATTTTTTTTTAATATGTAGCGTTTTAATATCCAATTTATTGTACGTGCTATTCTTACCTATCGCATTCCTTTTGTAAAATCGAAATTGTCATTAACAGTCGACCAGGGCCATAATAAGTCTCGATGATTGGTTGATGTACTTCCACGATACGTGCAATTCCTTCAAATAAGAGAGTCATGGTGTCGGCAAAAATAACAGCTGCTCTCTTGTCGTTACTCTTAATCTCTAATGTCGCTTGTAGATTTTTCTGTGCGGTCTCATGTAGCTAATATAAAAAAATGAAAGATCAGATAGTCATCAGAACTTGACAAATATAATTTTATACAATTAATATCATACGTACTTTGGTGCACAAGTAACTGCAAAATTTCTTTAATCCCTCCAAGTGCATCCCCAACAATGGGAATATCTTGAAAAATCTTTCAACGGATGCCAGATCTTCAGATTTCACAGCCTCATCAAATTTATGCGTGACAACTGCTCTCAATTCCATCGCGGCCTGTTGCAAAGTGACCAGAGAACTGCTAATACTAGTATGATCACCCGACACATCTTTGGCTGTTCTCTCCAGCAACTGCTGGTCCATTGCTAAATAACGATGAACGTGCGCAGCACCTTGCTCGTAATCCTCATTGCGCAGCGCAGTCGCCACTCCTTCGCTACATAATTGCAAGTCTAGTATATCATTTATTCTACTTTGACACTCGCATACTCTGCTCTGTGAAACAAAATTGTGGCGTTTAAAGTAAGAAATTAGGAAATTATGCGATAATGTATCTAGAAATGATATCTTGACTGTAATAACTTACTCTCGCTAGATCCAATTGCCTCACTTTAGCGCTAACATTCTCAGCTAACTCATTGGTACGAGCGATCATGTCGCAAAACTTCTCTCCCTCTGTCCGTATCACTACAACATTCGGCAGTACCTTGCCAATATTCTGCAGCTTTGCTTCCACGTGACATCGTCGGGCAAGGATCGTGTCCAGATTTTTCTTTATAGAAACCTGTTATCAAAATTTACCTTCCATAAAATATACAGTAGAATTTTCGCAAGAGAAATCACAACATATATGTATACATATATATATATAGATATATATAAGAGCTACTTCTTTAACAGTGCAACACATCTAGAGAAAATATCAGAGAATCTTCAGAGAATCAAGAAAATGTCACAGAAATATAAAATCTAACTCGTAGAGATTTGTACCGCACGTAAAACGTTTATTAAAGATTAATATGCGATTGCATTCGAACCTCATCTTCAGACAACTTGTCCAATATTTGTTGCAGATTTTCCTCGTTCACCGGCAAATCCATTATTATCAGCAAGTCAATAAACTGACGATTCGACGACTATTTTACAGCGTTCAGGCACTTGACATTTCTCACACGTCACGTATCGCGCCCACGTTGACACGTTTATCGCATTATAATTATAAACAAGAATGAGGATACCATATACCATACCATGGTAGACCTTAGGCTGAGTTTCCACTGAGCGTCATTCGTCGCGACCAATCAAAACATCCAATTTTATTACATTTTGGGTCTGTTCGCGTTGCTTGCACTTTTTGCACTCAGCATCTTCGCTTTCTCTCTCTC